ATATATCCGGGAAAGTGACAAAGATAAAATTATCTGCAACGTTGATGAGAAAGACATTGCTGAACATTTAAGGGTAAAATATTTTCAGGCATTTTCCCAGTAATGTGCGTCTTGGTTTAATCTGATCGGTTCATTGCATTTTGACAGATAAGGCTGAAGAAAGAACAAGAAGAAAAGGAAGATAAACGAAAATACAAGGCACAAGCTCACCTTTTCACGATAATTAAGGTTTGTTATTCCTATATGATAGGGCATGATCATATTTCTGAGCTGTTGTAGAGTGTAGATATGGCACTGTTTTTACCAATAAACTATTTGCTTACATGGAAAGGTTGCAAGGGATCAAGACCTTAAGGAACAAATTGGGAAAGATATATATTTTGATCTTGTTAATCATGACAAAGTTCGTAGTTTCCGGATCCAGAAACAGACGCCGTTTCAACAATTTAAGGTATCAGCCCAAGTATCTTTCGTTTTTATCTTGATTTGGATTTTGTGGAAATTTCCATATTGCTGCTAGCTAAATCGCTCTTTATGCAACTGTGATTTAAACATTTGCCATGTTTGACCACCAATCTCATGCTGAAATAGGAGGAGGTGGCCAAAGAATTTGGGGTACCTGTTCAGCTACAGAGGTTCTGGATTTGGGCAAAGCGACAAAACCATACCTATCGTCCCAATCGTCCCCTTACTCCTCAGGAGGAATTGCAACCGGTAGTGTTACCCTTCTATATGCTATTTATGCATGTAGTTTGTCTCGTTTTCCTCGACATTTGAGTTCATACGATGTACTACTCCAACGATGATAGTATCTGATCACCCGCTTGCTTTTTGTTTGTGTGTTGTAGTCTCTACATCTAATTATCTGATTTTTTGGGTTTTAATTCTCTACTCCTGCTGTCTGAAATCTGTTAATTCGTTAGTATTTTTAGAATTTCCTAGCACATGTTTCTCTGTTTACTTTGAAAAATTGCTTCGTTGTGTGCTGGAAACTATTTTCTTAACGTAGAATATGAGTCCCTTGCTAGTAAACTTATGTGCATCATGTATGAATGTGTTTTATATGGAAATTGTGATTTGTAGGTTGGACAAATAAGAGAAGCATCCAACAAGGCAAACACTGCAGAACTAAAGCTGTTTCTGGAAGTAGAGTTGCTGGTAAGAACTCATGTTTTCAAAGTTGAAGCCTTTATTATTGAAGGAAAAACAGAAGCTAATTGATCAACATGATTGATGAGCTAATATTTTCTTACGGATTCTTGGATAAATTAGGATGAGCGTCCTATTCCTCCTCCCGACAAATCGAAAGAAGATATTCTTCTTTTCTTTAAGCTTTACGATCCTGAGAAGCAAGAGTTAAGGTAATATGGTTTTTCACATCTTTTTTATCGCTCTGACTTCTTTGTAAAGTGGTCTACCACAACTTTAGTAACGATTATACTTTCTCAGAGTTTGCTTTCTGATCATAATTTTTTTAACCATTGTCTCCTTTTTCCTCATTTTCTTTTGTAATGTTTTTTTTTTCTTGTGCTACCAGGTATGTTGGCAGACTGATGGTGAAAAATTCCAGTAAGCCTATGGATATAACTGGAAAACTGAATGAAATGGCTGGCTTTGCTCCTGATGAAGAAATAGAACTATTTGAGGTTGGTGCTGATGGTGCCTCTTAACCTTATTTGCGTCATTCTTCTGTTATTTACTAACGTTTTTTGGGACTTATTTACAGGAAATAAAGTTTGAGCCGTGTGTTATGTGCGAACACCTGGATAAGAAAACTTCATTCAAATTGTGTCAAGTAATTATTCACCCTTATCAACAGAAATTTGCCTCATGTATCTTTTTTGACATGTATCTTTTTTGAAATTGGGGTTCTTGCTTTCAGATCGAAGATGGAGATATCATTTGCTTTCAGAAACTTCTTGGTAACAAGGAGACTGAGTGCCGCTACCCAGCTGTGCCTTCGTTTCTTGAATATGTCCAGAATCGACAGGTATAATTTGACCGAGCACGGGTTTTTAATGTCAAGCTTGGTAGAGTTAGGCTAAGTATGTCTCTCAAATGACAAGTTCTCTTTCTAGTAGAAAATTTAGTGGTCAATGACTTAGGCTGGTCTGGTAGGGTGGTTTCATGCAGCAGCTCTGAAGTTCATTTGTCCTATTATATTTGTACCACAAGTTTCTTACATGTTAATCGAATCAGAGGAAATGTATGCTGATATCCAATAATTCTTTTAACTGGGTATACCAGCATTTCTTATTCTGGGCTTTCGTGTCTAATGTTCTGAGAAATTGTTACTACTTGACATTATTTGATTGGCAATTAACTGTTGCGGTTTGTGCTTTTGTAGCTGGTCCGATTTCGTGCTCTGGAAAAACCTAAAGAAGATGAATTTGTTTTGGAGTTGTAAGTACCTCTGTTGTGAGCGATTTTGTTTCAGGTGATTCAGTGAGAAAATCACAACATTTTTTTTATTTCTTAGGTCAAAGTTGCACACTTATGACGATGTCGTGGAAAGAGTGGCCGAGAAGCTCGGTCTTGACGATCCATCGAAGCTTAGACTTACATCTCACAATTGCTATTCCCAGCAACCCAAACCTCAGCCTGTCAAATACCGTGGAGTAGACCATTTGTCAGATATGTTAGTTCACTACAATCAGGTAATCGACGTGAAGTCAGCTAACTTTATTAATTCTTACTAAAGAATTTGATGATTTCTTATTGAAATTTATTCTCTTTTTTTTTCCAGACGTCTGATATTTTGTATTATGAAGTTCTGGACATTCCTCTTCCAGAACTGCAAGGTCTTAAAACCTTAAAGGTTGCTTTCCACCATGCCACGAAGGAAGAGGTATGTGTAGATTGTTATTTGTGATTCATTCTTTTCTTTTGTAGGGATTAATTTTCGAGGCTCTTAACCATCATTATACAGGTGGTAATCCACAATATCAGACTACCTAAACAGAGTACAGTCAGAGATGTTATCAATGAACTTAAGACAAAGGTAAAATAGCTGGTTTACTTTCTGAAGTAGGTGTATTTTTTCTTTAAGTTGCTCTCTGGCTTGTATATATATAAGTGCTGGACTGAAATTGATGGCATCCAGATTATAGATTTCAAACATTCCTAACCTCCATCCGGAAAATCGTTTTAAGGCTTTGGATTTTAATGATTTCTCTTACAATTACAAATTCGACGTTATGCTAGTTAATCTAAGCTTATGCCTGATACAGGTGGAGCTTTCGCATCCAGATGCAGAACTGAGAATACTTGAGGTGTTTTACCACAAGATCTACAAGGTAACAAGCGGCGTCTTAATTTTTTTTTAACTTGTAGTCAATAAGTTCATGATCCAAAAATGATGGCTTCTCAACTATATCTCCTGATGAAATTCTTAGAACCCTCTAAAGTACAACGAACATTAATTCAAGGTGCTGGTATGCCTTGCAGATTTTTCCATCAACCGAAAGAATTGAGAACATAAACGACCAGTACTGGACTTTACGAGCTGAGGAGGTAATGTAATTACTAGTCTGCGACCATCTATCAAAGTTTTATCTTCAAAGTTTTATTTTTGTATTTTCAAAGTCTTAGTAGTCACTGTTCATTAATTATTTATGAATTTCTCAGTCTACTTGTATCTTTGTTTCCATGTGATATAAAAGGGGAATTTGGGAACCTAAAGAGATTGGATAGTTATTCTGTGGATATACCGACTTATGTCTTTCTAAATTGCAGATTCCGGAAGAAGAGAAAAATATTGGTCCAAATGATCGCTTAATTCTAGTGTACCACTTTGCTAAGGAGACTGGACAAAATCAGGTGATAATCCAGCTATCAAGTTTTTTGTTGTTTTAACTGTGGCAAAGTTTCTTATCAGTATCATGTTTGTTTGTTCCTCAGCAAGTGCAAAACTTTGGGGAGCCCTTCTTCTTGGTAATCCATGAAGGAGAAACTCTTGAAGAAATCAAGAACCGTATCCAAAAGAAGCTTCATGTATCTGATGAGGACTTTGCCAAGGTATGCAATTATCAAAAGCTAAGTAAAGAACCGAAGGTGTTAATAGATAACTGTAATATGGTGGAACTGGTACGATTCTTATATTTTCATTCATTATGTGCAGTGGAAGTTTGCGTTTATGTCTATGGGGCGTCCAGAGTACTTGCAGGACTCAGATGTTGTTTACAATCGCTTTCAGGTGTTAACTTCTTCTCCTCTAAGTTTATTTATTTATGGGAAAGCTCGTATTAATAATATCAGAGATCTAACTTGACTTTGAAAATGGGTAAAACAGAGAAGAGATGTGTACGGTGCTTTTGAGCAGTACCTGGGGTTGGAGCACACTGATACCACTCCTAAGAGGGCTTACTCTGCAAACCAGGTAACCCTTTTTCTTGATAAGTAGATTCTTTTGCCTAAGAAGGTGTAGTAACCAAAGCCCCTCGTGTTAACTATTTTGATTGCGTTGTCCACGTAGAACCGACACACTTATGAGAAGCCGGTGAAGATATACAATTAGCCGGAAAGGAAAAAAGGATAACACAAATGTCGTCAAGATATTGTGGCAGCAACGTTGGGACTAAGGCAGACATCGAATAAGAGGAGGAACGACCTAGTGTGAGGTGTGGATGATGACCGACTTTAGTATGTTGTAGAGAATTTGGTCTGAATAGGGTTTTGGGATGCGCATTTATATTGTGGTCTTTTTCTTATTTCTTCCTTTCCGCTGCTTTTCAATACTGTGTTAATGTGTATATGGAATGTGCGAGACCATTGGCACATCATGCAATTTTTTTTTAATTTTCGAACAAGAAGCATATGGGAGCCTGTCGCTTGGATTCGGATGCGGGGTTTGGCTTTCAGAGTTAATACCGAAACATTTGTAATTTTTAAGAGATTTATGGTTTAAGATGTTTTTGACTACTGATACACTTCGATTTACTCCAAAAGACAAGCATAAAATGGACAAAATGCTCAAATATCAAGCTCTGTTGATGATTGCACTACGCAACTCTATAGGATACAACGCCGTCCGTTGTCTCAACCACCAATCTCTTCATCCGTGTCAGTAGCAGTGTGTAAGCTTTCTCCTTATTCCCTGCAATATACAAACCCCATCATCAGTGTCTATGCAACACGTGCGTCGTCTTTCTAGTGTCTATCCAAGTTGTAACGAGAACGTACCAAGGCCTAGAGTTGGGATTTCATCTGCACGGAAGTAGTAAGACCCATTTGTTCCCTTCTTACTACAGAGGACTGAATTGAATTTCTCCACGGCACTGAGCAGATCCTAGAAAACATAAGCAGGTAGTATAAAACAATATTTAAGATACACTTTAAAAGAACATATAAGAGTGTTTCACTAATATGCAGAGTATCTAGGAAAAGAAAGAGGGAGAATCTTTGTACCTCCCATGATGCAAGAGTCTTCATGAAAGAAGGGAGATTTTCATATTCTTCTTTTATCAATGTAATACTTGGCCTTGAAGTTCTACCCATCTCTACTGCCACATTCTCATCTTCTGCAGGTAAAAAAAAAACTCTTAACATCGTATACAGAAGACTAAACAACAATTTTCTTACAATAGTAAAAGGCTTTAGAAAAATAACCATTGGAAAGCTCTGACGTCTTTGGAACAGGTAGAGCACTAGTCTCAAACGGCTTGCCCCTAAACATCAAACGAAAAAGAAAAACCTTGCTGATATACGAGCAAAAACAACGAACACATAAATGTTGTAATGGCCATCAAAACTTACTTCACAGATTCTTCCAAAGACGTGTTGTAAGAATCCTTCACAGTAGTAGATGAGACAAATCTTCCTCCTTTACTTTGTGAAGCTAAAGTTGCAAGACAAGCATCTGAAAGCCCAAGGCTCTTGAAATTTGGCGAATCATCTAGACTACAGGAAACATTAAAGACCAAAACCATTGCATAAAAGGCTGCTTATTCTCTAGTTGATAACATCAGTCTACACAATATGCAAAAGGATACAGATGGTCCTCGTAAATTCCTTTTCTGATTGAAGGAGACTCTAAATCATCATCATACTCATGCTTTGAATCCTCACAAAAGTCAGACTCTTCACCTCTACCTTCATCAATCTCAACTCCTAGTTCCAAAGATCTCACCTTTAAACCGCAAAAAAGGAAAGAAGAAGAAGAAAGAGTTTAGAAGAGTTACCAGGAACGTAGCCAAAGTCAGTGAGACGGTCCTGAAGATTCAAAACCTCCTCTTGGTTCCTTTTATAGATCTGATTGCAATGTCCCAAGAGCTCCTCGAAGGAGACAGTACCGAAAGACATGGACTCAAGGAAGTTGAGCTCAGTGCCAGCTGTCGAGAGTTTACGGGTCAAGCTCTTGATGAAAGTCGACGAAGCAGAATCTGTACCCCAAAAATTGAGAAAGGTGATGACTTTAGGGTTTTAGTGACGAAAAGGGTAAAGAGAGAAAGGAACAAACCGAGAGGGATAGGGCGACGCTGGAGAGATTGATTGAAAGCATCGCAGCTGCTTTGGAGATGGTTGCAGAATCCTCCTAAGCTCTTGCTCAATTTCTTCATCTCTTCCTCCATCTCTCTCTGATTCAATCTCTCTCGGCGGGAATTAGAAGAAAAAAAAAGATTACTTTTTTAATAAAAAAGGTTTGAGTTTGGTGAAAGAAAAAAAAAAGAATTGATTTTTAAAGTTGGTTTAGTGAAAGAAAGATAAAGTTTGGATTTTTATCCGAAAGAGATGAGCTTTTGATTAATATAATAACTGAGTTACGAGTAGTGTCCGTGAAACCCACTAACTATGGCTTTAGCTTCTTTATTTGGTCGCTCTTCTCCTCGTCTCTCCTCTAAGACAACAGCTTCCACCTTCTTCTTTCTCCGCTCTTCTCGTAAGGTCTACTCGACTACGCCGAATAAAAATGGTGACGTGTCTTCGATCTCTGCGGAGAAGGGTCGTTGGAGGATAGTTGTCGATAGGTGGTCTAGGTCTCTTGTCCCGTTGGCGATAGTTGCTGCCTCCGCTGCTTCTTTTGCGGTTCTGAACCAGTCGTCGTATCCTTCTATCAGTGAATCATCATCGGCTTTGGATTCTGAGTTCGTGTTGTCTTTTTTTTTTTTAATTATTGATTCAGAGAGTATACACAGTTGTTTGATTGATTGCTCTTTTTTTTCTTTGTAGAGGTGTAAAAGTTGGAGGTAAAGGTAGTACTGAGCTTGTAGTTAAGGGAGAGTACAAAGAGGTTCCTAAGGAGCTTATTGCTGAGTTGAAAACAATCCTCCAGGTGCTACAGATTTTTAATTTGTTCTCTTTTCTACATTTCCGTAGCTCTTACCTTCAAGTTTCATACTAATCTACTTCCAAATTTGACTTCAGTTTCATCATTAAGTCATGGTTTTTATGTTTAGCTGTGATGTTTATTTATTTCCGTCTTTTTCAAGGATAACTTGACAACGGACTATGATGAGAGGTACTTCCATGGGAAGCCGCAGAACAGTTTTCATAAGTCAGTTAACATTCCTGATGTTGTTGTTTTCCCGAGGTGAGTGAGACCGGTTTTTTGTCATCTATGTTAATTATCAGTAGATGGGAATGGTTCTGGGTTTTCAGACTGTGATAACTGAATGCCTTATATTGATTTCCATGAATCTTTTTTACTTTTATCACTGAAATTACAAGAAACAAGAAATTCATGGATTGTCATCTTTTTAACTATTGTTTAGGTCCGAAGAAGAAGTCTCCAAGATTCTTAAATCCTGCAACCAATACAAGGTTTGTAAATTTTACTTATAGAGGGTTTCAGTGATCAGGCTTCTCATTTGTAGTCTAGGCCAACATGCTATATTTCTCTCGAGTAAAAGATTAATTTTATGCTGCAATTACTCTCTGATTAGGTTCCTATTGTACCATATGGTGGTGCAACATCGATTGAGGGTCACACCTTGGCTCCAAAAGGAGGTGTATGCATTGACATGTCATTAATGAAGGTATTCCAACTCTCTTGTATCTGACATCAGCGTCCGTTTTGTATCATGTAATAAACGGAACTGGTGGGTTTCATTATAAGAATTAAACTTACAAAGTGTAAGTTTGAACCTGCTTATGTTTGAAAAGGAAGATGATTAAAAAAGATTGTATCGTGTTTGACTTAGATACAATTAGAACTTACAGTATGCATGTAGACGTAATTCAAAATCATGCCACTCACTCATGCTCATTAAAATCTTATTTCAAACTGTATTAGAGGGTGAAAGCGTTACATGTGGAAGATATGGACGTTGTAGTTGAGCCTGGAATTGGTTGGCAGGAGCTTAATGAACAGTTAGAACAATACGGACTCTTCTTTCCTCTTGATCCAGGTTAGCCAACATCTAAATAGTACAGCATCTCTAAAATTATAGCTGTAATGTGTGTGTCTTGTAATGGGATTTTTCTTTTGAGGTGCTGCAACATTCAATCTCTTTGGTGTTGTGTACAAACTTTTTCAGGGCCCGGGGCAACCATAGGAGGCATGTGTGCTACACGTTGCTCTGGATCTTTAGCTGTAAGGTAATTTCTGCAACTCTGCTTTAATCCGGTTGGCTTTGATAATTTTTCTGCCAGCTTGTAGGTATGGAACTATGCGTGACAATGTCATAAGCCTTAAGGTTTGTTGTTTCTTCCACTGATTCATGCTTGCTTTATACAGTTCTATCTTATTTATGTTATGCTCATCTCATTCTCAGGTGGTTCTTCCTAATGGAGATGTTGTGAAGACAGCTTCTCGTGCTAGAAAGAGTGCTGCAGGGTTTGTCTTCACCCTTCAATTTATTTTCTTGCTTCCGTTTTGCATTTTTCATATTAGTACTTATCATGTCACCAGCTAGAATAAACTTTGTTTCCTTCAACCTTTTGTGCCATGTAATGATTTTTCGTCAAACAGGCTAGTTCTAGCTTTTGGTTTAATAGTTGAAACTTATCGGGATGGTATCTCAGGTACGATTTGACACGCTTGATTATTGGGAGTGAGGGGACTTTGGGAGTCATAACTGAGGTTACTCTTCGGCTTCAGAAAATCCCACAACATTCTGTGGTATATAAATTGACTTCTTCCTTTATAGCAAGTTTCTCTCCTTTGTTATGTGATTTAGTTATTTATTGTGTATACTTTTAGGTGGCAGTGTGCAATTTTCCTACGGTTAAGGATGCTGCAGACGTGGCCATTGCTACCATGATGTCTGGAATACAGGTTAGACTTCTCTACTTTTGAAATGATATGATTTATAACTGTTATTAGATTCTTCTCAGCTGTATCTTTATCTCTATCAGGTGTCAAGAGTGGAGCTACTTGACGAGGTTCTAATCAGGGCTCTTAATATGGCAAATGGGAAAAACCTGAAGGAAGTTCCAACTCTGATGTTTGAATTTATAGGGACAGGTGAGGCTTGCATCATAGTTATTATACATCTCATACTCAGTCTTGCCGCTAGACACGTAAATAGAGAATGATTGTCTTCGAATTCTCCATTGATAGATTTTTTTTTGGCTCCTTTGCTCTCTCTTTTAGAGGCGTATGCACGTGAGCAGACTCAGATTGTTCAGGAGATTGCTTCTAAACACAATGGATCAGACTTTGTGTTCGCAGAAGAATCTGAAGCAAAAAAGGAACTCTGGAAGGTAATCATTTGTCCCACTTTTCTCCCTTCAACCTCCCTGAGAGGCAAAAAAAAAAGGGGAAATTTTACTTGCTATTTGCTATAGTGTGTTCTTACTCTGTCTCTTGCCAGTGTTATTACTCTTTGGTTTGCTTCTGATAAAAGATTTAGTTATTGAAGGATCTAATTTCTCTGTCTCTCTATCTTTAATTCAGATAAGAAAAGAGGCGCTTTGGGCTTGCTATGCTATGGCGCCAGGTCATGAAGCAATGACTACAGTAAGTTTTTTCGTTATCTACATACACTGTTGGTTCTAGATGAACTTTCCCAGCTACAAACAGGAATCTGAAATCATGTTATGCCATTGATCTTTTTACTGTTTACTTTATTTGTTACCGCAGGATGTATGTGTCCCTTTGTCTCACCTAGGAGAACTAATTTCAAAATCCAAGAAAGAGCTTGATGCATCACCTTTGTTATGGTATCTTAGTTTGTCTATACTCAAACATCATTCAATAAAGTGTATGCTGACTCTTGTTGGTGTACATTCAGTCCCGTCATTGCGCATGCTGGAGATGGAAACTTCCATACATGTATTATGTTTGATCCGAACAGTGAAGAGCAGCGAAAAGAAGCAGAAAGATTGAACAACTTAATGGTTCACAGTGCACTGGCCATGGACGGTAAATACCTTTTCCCATTCTGAGTTTTTTTAAAGTTGTAACGATGGCCACTTGTTTCTGAGAATGCACTTTGTTTCCATTGATCAGGAACATGTACTGGAGAGCACGGTGTTGGAACAGGAAAAATGAAGGTATAGCTCATGTCTTGTATGACATTAATTTGACTGTATATTTGATGATCTAAACTGTTTTTTTTTTTTGGTTATGTCATGGAAATGATGGTAAGTATCTGGAGAAGGAACATGGAATAGAAGCACTGCAAACTATGAAGAAAATCAAGAAAGCTTTGGACCCAAACGATATCATGAATCCAGCAAAGCTAATTCCTCCCCATGTCTGTTACTAAAAAAATGCCTTGGTCAAAAAACATTTTATGTGGTCCACTCAAACTCTAAAAACGATGTTTGGTTGGTTACTCTTGTGGTAATAATAATAACATGAGGGAAGAGATGTTGTTTGCTTGTAGCATGCATTGTATCTTTGGTCTTATACTGTTTCTCTTTGGTCTATAAACACCCAAAATTTTATCTTTTTAAGTACAAAACAGCTGATGCGACAGAAATATTCTTTTATCTTGCTGTGTTTACATTTTATCAAGTGGTATGGTCAGAAGAGGAGAAAAGTCTATATGAATGACTTGGTCTCATGAGATGAATCAAGCCGCAAAACTAATAAAAACATGGTCTCAAGAGTTTTGAGATAGCATCTATCACACTCAAGAGTTTACCGACTTCTGTGTTTACAAAAATACCCCTCTGTTACTACTATTGCCTCTATATATATTTCAGTTACATTACATTTGATGCATTATTTCCAAAAGACTTAACTAAAAGAAGAATTAAAATGGGTTCACTAGGAGAAGAGCCACCACAAGTAGCAGAAGACTGCATGGGTTTGCTTCAACTCCTAAGCAACGGCACCGTTTTGAGATCCAAAAGCATTGACCTAATCACTCAACAAATCCCACTCGCTAACCATGAAACCGTTCTCTTCAAAGACTCAGTCTTCCACAAACCAAACAACCTTCACCTCCGTCTCTACAAACCTTCTCTCGTCTCTAACCGTGCCATACCCGTCGTGGTCTTCTTCCACGGCGGTGGCTTTTGCTTTGGTTCACGTTCTTGGCCTCACTTTCACAACTTATGTCTCACTCTTGCATCCTCCCTCCACGCTCTTGTGGTGGCCCCTGACTACCGTTTAGCACCTGAACACCGTCTCCCGGCTGCCTTTGAAGATGCTGAGGCCGCGGTTATGTGGCTCCGGGACCAGGCTGTTTCCGGTGACTGGAACCACTGGTTCGAAGGTGGACCAAGCGTTGACTTAGACAGAGTTTATGTTCTTGGCGATTCCTCGGGTGGGAACATAGCTCATCACCTTGCTTTTCGGTTCGGTTCAGGTTCGGTCCAGTTGAGTCCGGTTCGGGTTTGCGGTTACGTTCTTTTGGGACCGTTTTTTGGCGGGGAGGAGAGAACCAAGTCAGAGGATGGACCGTCTGAGCAAAAGCTAACCTTGGATTTGCTTGACAAGTAAGCTAACACACTATATTTTAATTTTTCTTTAGACGTAACAGAATATATTTTTATATAAACACTAAAATATTTACAGGTTCATTGAATTATTACTAGTCATGCATGACTTCATTGCTTTTAAATTACTATAACCTAGCTATTAACAATATAAATTTATCTGAATTATTATATGTTAAGCTGGATGGGCTTCCAACTTAAAACCAATTGGTGATTAGTGGATTGGCTCCAACCCTTTATATAGTAGTAGATTAATTCTTATATTTCCGATGTGGGATGTTTCTCATCAATACCCTCCCTCACGCTCAGACATCTCTAGGTCTGAAGCGTGGACAATGTGGGAATAACATCCACAAAGGGTCCAACATCGGTATAGTAGTAATTGTAGTAAATTAGGTCAAAGGATCTTATCGCGAATTGGTTTTAAGTTGGAAGCCCATCCAGCTTAACATGGTATCAGAGCCCACGATCCACGCAGTCCAACCCGATCCCTTATCGATACGTGCCCAAAGTTGGCCCATCGATCCTTGCCCAAACATTGCGAGATTGACGCTCAAAGAGCCATCATCTCGAGGGGGCGTATTAGGGACAAAGGTCCCACATCGGTAGTTGGAAGGGATCTCTAGCAATATATAAGATAGATGGGTCACTCCACTTATCACCAATTGGTTTTAAGTTGGAAGCCCATCCAGCTTAACATTATATGTATATATAGATGTCGTTTTCAGCTACTTTATTTTCATATTATTATCTTTTATGCGATGCCAATCGGTGGAATGAATTTGCCGAGTCGCATGAGAGAGACATCTAGAGTCACAGTGCCTCTTCATGAAAACACAAGACTTATAGTACAATATGTTTTATTTATTTATTTCGAAAACATTTTTAAAAAATTGCATGTGTTCATTGTCATCGAATGAAAATTATGCAGAAAAACACTTCTCTTAGTCCGACTATATAAAGTAGTTAAGAATATTTTCCCTTTGAAGATCATTTGTTTTGAATACACGAAACATATTACAATACATGATATATCGAATTTTGGCAACTAGTTCCAAGCTGGAGTACCAATTCTTATGACATAGAAAACACACAAACTTTATAAAGAAAACGACTTTTCTATCCGTATACTTGTTTAGAAACGTATACACGAACAGACAACACATAGTGATATAGTACTTCATCTTTACTCTTTTGATAAAATTTTAAGAGTGAAATGTAATAATAATTTTGATTGATTCTATTGGCTAAGACGTATGATTTAAGCCCATCATATGACTGTTAAGATTCGTGTGCTTAATCTACTAGTACCCCACTATTTGATCAATTTTTCTCAACTCATTCAACGTGTAAATGGCTTTTCAAATATATGGATCTCCGATTCACGGTGACTATACGAATCGGTCTTAGAGTAAACATCCAGTAGATAGATGACAACTTAAAAAATATCTTTTGTGGAAAGGATCGAATTAAATAAATCCTAAAATATACCTGTTATAAAACTCATGGCAAACAATAAGAGACCCTACCATAACGATTATACATGATACCAACTCAGGAGTGATTCTTATTTTGAAAATGGTATATAACTAAATTAGATTGCAGCAAATTTGCTTAATCAACACCTTCAAAATTTCGCTATAATTAAGAATGTATAAAACTTAGCAAACAGTAGTTAATCTTTTTTAATAACTAAGTATGGTTTTATATTTTGAACTTTCGAGCTTTACAAAGTCCACTTACTAACTATAAAATATTATTAAGTCCGTATATAATTAATTAGTTATAGAATGATCCTATAAAACTCGTGCAAGTGTAACTTAAAAATGACAGTATACGCGTTTGCGTACATGTAAATTTAGGTCATATTTCATTTGTGAATATACGGAGTAGTGACTGTCGGAACATATGGATAATCAGATATCAAGAACAGTGGCTGTATATTTGGAACGGAGATAGTGCGTCATGCATTATCCTCGTTTCCTTTATTATCTCAGCTTAATTTTGCTTATGATTCTCCTGAGTCGTGACCATCATTGCACAGTACAAATAAATCTAAAATGCTATACGTCCTCACATTTTAATATAATATTTAACATATGTGCATATTCATTTATGTTTATCAACGTGTAGTCATTTGGAATCACATATCATTCAAGTCTTCTCTCCAATTGATTGTTTCTCTTTTTCCATTTGAAAAAAAATGAGATGATTGACCCGTCGTGTTCATGGCCATTGTAATAAATCCATATGTACAGTAAAAATTGGTATAGTCCATGTGAATATATTAATGCAAACAAAATACCTAACTTGTTGAAGGTTTTGGAGACTTTCACTACCAGAAGGTGCAACAAGGGATCATCCCATGGCTAACCCTTTTGGGGCGACGAGTCCTGCACTCGAGTCAATTAGCATAGAGCCAATGCTGGTTATCGCTGGTGGCTCAGAACTTCTGAGAGATAGGGCCAAAGAGTATGCATATAAACTTAAGAAGATGAAAGGGAAAAAGGTTGATTACATTGAATTTGAAAATGAGGAACATGGTTTCTATTGCAAGAGTCCATCTTCCGATGCTTCGGAACAGCTATTTCGTATCATTGGAGACTTTATGGACAGCTTCTCCAATATATTTTAGCATTTCTTGTTGTGGCTAAGTCACTAAAGAGTTTATATCAATTAGGCTTCCACCTCAATAAGTTTGCTTGGTGAATCATATATGATATAAATACATAGAACGCATAACAATGTTTCTATATATGTTTTTGGTTTCGTTGTGTCCTTATTCATCGTAACTAGCTCCTCTATATATATATTTTTTTATCGTTATGTTGTTTTCTACTTCTTTTAGCTCTTTTCCGAAAAAGGTATACCCAAGTTTTTTTTTGGTATACCCAAGTTTTTTTTTGGTATACCCAAGTTTATCTCAGTATCCTTCTTCATGTATCCATCTCGAATGGTATGTTCTAAATATGTTTTTTTTTAATTCCTATGTTGTTAATTTTTTAACTCTTTCCCAAAAGAAGTACATGTCAAGTTTACGTTAGTATTTTGACATAGTAAAATCGGGCACATTTAAAATTATTACTCAAAAACATATCAAGTATTCCCCCAATATTTGAATATTGAGTGTTATAGCAATTGCATAAATATCAAGAATTCAACAAACTCTTACGTTCGGGAGCATTGTTGGGCGTTAGGTAAATTAATATTTTCTTCAGTAATGTAAATCTTTTCAAGGAGAAAAAAAACTCTAAATATATACATGCATAAAACTTATATTGTGAATGTTGAGTTGACCTGGTAAGCTTCAACGTCGACGGTCCAATCCTTTCAGTACATTGGAAAGACCAGGCTTTCTATAATAATAACGAAGAAAATTGTTTATAGGCAAGTAGGGCTGGGCATTTTATCCGTTATATTTGATTCGATCCGTTATTCGTTTCGATTCGATCCGAAAATTCCGGATATCCGTAAACTTTCGAATCAAAGCAAATACTAAAATTCAATATCCGTTAAAATCGAAGCAAATCACAAATATTAAAATTTTGGAAAGCGAATATCCGATCCGATCCGTAAATATATAAATATATGTATATTTTAATTATATTTAAATTTTTAATTGTATAAAATTATAAAATTATTAATTTAGCACATGTTTTTGAACAATTCTATTCAAATTATTACTTATATAAAAGTATTACATAAAAGAGATAAAATGTTGCCAAAAAAAAAAGAGATAAAATATTTTTGACAATTATATTTTTTTCTTAAATTTTGTGTTATTATAATTGTAACTTAAACTTTAAAAAATTACAAAATCTATAAATTCACTAGTTCTTTTAAGTTTTATTTTATATATCATGCAAAAAAATATTTTTGCAAAGCAAATTTGTATCAAAATCTTAAGATTATTTGTACTAATTAAAA